TTTGTTTTTTATGTATAGAGCAAAGTGCAAAGGGTTGTAACCCACAGCAACCAATCATAATGCTTGCAATGATGTCACCAATTTGCTACTGGTAACGGAACCTAAAAAAACCATGATGAATAACATTCTATAATCTCTATGCTATTTCTCCTTAATGTACCAATATATAAAAATCAGCAGGAAAAAGAGCAAAGTAGGGTAACTTCATATGAGGCATGGATGACTTTATCTTTGAGGATATATCTGAACTGAATTTACATTTACATTATCTGAACCTTAGGAACAGGCAATTCATTGGGAATATGATCACCTTATATAAATACTTAAGTTCAGTTTATAGAAATGCGTTAAGTTTATAGCAAAGGCCCGAGGAAACGCTTTGTCACTGGTGGAAAAGAGGTTAACCTGTACATGCAGGGTTATTTCCTGTAAGAGCTGTGAAAATTTTTAGTAGGTTTGGTGTGTTTATACAGTGGGGCAAAAAAGTATTTAGTCAGCCACCAATTGTGCAAGTTCTCCCACTTATAAAGATGAGAGAGGCCTGTAATTGGCATCATAGGTAGACCTCAACTAAGAGACAAAATGAGAAAAAAAATCCAGACAATCACATTGGCTGATTTGGAAAGAATTTATTTGCAAATTATGGTGGAAAATAAGTATTTGGTCAATATCAAAAGTTCATCTCAATATTTTGTTATATCTCCTTTGTTGGCAATGACAGAGGTCAAACGTTTCTTGTAAGTCTTCACAAGGTTGGCACACACTGTTGCTGGTATATTGGCCCATTCCTCCATGCAGATCTCCTCTAGAGCAGTGATGTTTTGGGGCTGTCACTGGGCAACACGGACTTTCAACTCCCTCCAAAGGTTTTCTATGGGGTTGAGATCTGAAGACTGGCTAGGCCACTCCAGGACCTTGAAATGCTTCTTACGAAACCACTCCTTCGTTGCCCGGGCGGTATGTTTGGGATCATTGTCATGTTGGAAGACCCAGCCACATTTCATCTTCAATGCCCTTGCTGATGGAAGGAGGTTTGCACTCAAAATCTCACGATACATGGCCCCATTCATTCTGTCCTGTACATGGATCAGTCGTCCTGGTCCCTTTGCGGAGAAACAGCCCCAAAGCATGATGTTGCCACCCCCATGCTTCACAGTAGGTATGGTGTTCTTTGGATGCAACTTAGCATTCTCTCTCCTCCAAACATGATGAGTTGTGCTTCTACCAAACAGTTCTATTTTGGTTTCATCTGACCATATGACATTCTCCCAATCCTCTTCTGGATCATCCAAATGCTGTCTAGCAAACTTCAGACGGGCCCGGACATGTACTGGCTTAAGCAGGGGGACACATCTGGCACTGCAGGATCTGAGTCCCTGGCGGCGTAGTGTGTTACTGATGGTAGCCCTTGTTACGTTGGTTCCAGCTCTCTGCAGGTCATTCACTAGGTCCCCGCGTGTGCTCCTGGGATTTTTGCTCACCGTTCTTGTGATCATTTTGACCCCACGGGGTGAGATCTTGCATGGAGCCCCAGATCGAGGGAGATTATCAGTGGTCTTGTATGTCTTTCATTTTCTAATTATTGCTCCCACAGTTGATTTGTTCACACCAAGCTGCTTGCCTAGTGCAGATTCAGTCTTCCCAGCCTGGTGCAGGTCTACAATTTTGTTTCTGGTGTCCTTCAACAGCTCTTTGGTCTTCACCATAGTGGAGTTTGGAGTGTGACTGTTTGAGGTTGTAAACAGGTGTCTTTTATACTGATAACAAGTTCAAACAGGTGCCATTGATACAGGTAATGAGTGCAGGACAAAGGAGCCTCTTAAAGAAGAAGGTACAGGTCTGTGAGAGCCAGAAATCTTGCTTGTTTGTAGGTGACCAAATACTTATTTTCCACCATAATTTGCAAATAAATTCTTTCCAAATCAGCCAATGTGATTGTCTGGATTTTTTTTCTCATTTTGTCTCTCATAGTTGAGGTCTACCTTTGATGCCAATTACAGGCCTCTCTCATCTTTTTAAGTGGGAGAACTTGCACAATTGGTGGCTGACTAAATACTTTTTCGCCCCACTGTAAATGCAAAAAAGTACATGGCTACTCATACTGTATTTATATAAATTTATATTGAAGAGTGTTGATCCAATGAGTTATCAGATAGGATATGGGCCTTGGATGTGATGTCTCCATGCACGGCGGGGTATAGTTTGTGGCTGGAAGCAGCGGTCAGAGGCAATCCTATTCCGAGATTGTACCTTATATAATTATGTCAGTGGTGATACTCAGAAATGTGAGTTTAAAAGAATGTTTTTTAATAAAGATTTGTTATGGTTTTATGTGATGGGAGCTTGTCCTCTTTTCTTCCTGATTCATGTGACCGTATGTGATGCAAAGGAAGCGCTCAGCAGAAGGGTTTAAGAGGAGTGATTTTTTGCTGCGAGCTTCTCAGAAGGGTGCCTGGGAGGAGAAGTGATCTCTTGCTGTAGGTCCTTACTCCCAGAGTTCACGCACTCACAGCTGGTTTATAATATTACCAGTCTGGAGCTCTGAAGAGTTTATCTAATTTATCCGGTGGTGGAAGAACACTTTTTGGTGGCGCATGATAAGAAAATACACAGAGTTTGTTTTTTTATATTTATGGTGGACTTTTTATATACTGTATGTTGGAGCATGCAATATAATCATCACAGTGGATTTTAAATTTGTGATATGAACTGCATGATTTGAATATTTATTGCACAGGAGCACATTTAATATTTTTCACACTTGTAGAAGCTGCCTATATAAGAGGAGTTCAAGTTACATATTTGAGTTATATATTTGTGCATTAGATGCCACTCATTGCATGATTGCATGATTTTGTTTGGGAAAACATGGTTTATAGAGGGGGTGTTGTAGTTGATTTTTTGTATATATATATATATATATATATATATATATATATATAGTGATTTATAGCAGAGGTAGGCAACCTTAAAGAGGTGGAGATCTACCTGAAGTCCTGAACAACATGGGAGAAGTCAAAGATCACCAGGCACAGTGTCGCCCAGTGTCACTTCCTCACACCTGATTTAAACCTCTAATTACAGTACTACAGTATCACAATCGCATGCTTTGCATGACAATCATGGATTTAAATCAGGTGTTGAAAAGGCAACATATCGTCTCCTCACCACCTGTCAAACACACTTGGATAGATTTGCAAAGGAGCAGTAGTGTCTGCTGCCCTTGTGAATGAGCCCTTAGTTACATCTGGCAGCCGCACTCTTAGGGCTCTTTCACATGTAAAGTTGGGTAGTGGTAAAACCCTGTGGTTGAGTCATGGTTTTACTGCCCTCAATCCCTATCACTTTTAGCTGCTGAGGTAGTAGATATACACATGTCACGGCAGGAATTACATCCCCTGTTGTTTTTGCTAGGTGCTACCGCCTGTCATTCGAGACCCATTTAAATAAATTGGGCCACTCTGCAAGTGCCCTGCAACTGCATGCTTCTTGAGGGTCCAAGGGGTTAAGGCAGGTGGTGAGAAAGCAAAGCACACCGCCTTGTTTGCTGTATTGCACAAGGTTGCAGGGCACTTGCACGGTGGCCTCATTCACTTGAATGAGTCATGCTTGGCAGGTGCTACACGCACCAACCATGACAGGGTGCAGGAGCTGGCACTACAGAGCCCTTGCTCCCTACTACAGCTCCAAATTTACAAGTAGTCCTTCTGCATTGCTGATGGCGGGTCAGCAAGCCCTGACCCTAACAAGATCTACTGGTTGCTGACCCCCAATTTATAGCGTTTATTGAGTTGCGGGTGGGTTAGCACTGACCTTTTATAAATTCACATACGGTAGAAATTGGCTAGTTAGGGACAGTTGCATAGGCAGCAAATAGAAAGAGATAAGGCAGGTTTGATTGTGCCATAAAAGTTAGAATATATTATCTGAGAGACAGTAGCCAAAAATAATTTACAGTGACTGGACATTATGTAAGCAGCTTGGTTAGGCAGAAATATAGGAGGGAGTGACAGGGCAGGTTTTGTTTTGAAATAGAGATAAAATTGTATTATTTGTGAGACAATAGCCACAAGTATTGTAGAATGACTGGAGAGTATGTAGGGAGCTTGGTAAGGTAAGAAGAAAATATGAGGCCGACTGTATCTTAAAATAAACATTAGCATGTATTATGTGAGAGACAATAGCAGCATTCAGTAAATTGGTCAGTGCCCGGACAGTATGTAAGCAGCTTGGCAAGGGCACAATATAAAAAGGAAAGCTGTGGTAAGTTGTACCTGTAAATAAGCATTAGAATATATTATTATAAATATTGTACAGTGAAAATGTGTATCTAGGGCTTTTCCAACAGGTAAAGTAAATGTACCATAGAAGGGATCTATTAAAACTTTACTGGGAAACAAATGTAACTCCTCTATGGTTATATTGTATCATTTAACTGTAAGCGCAATATCACAACAATGTGGTTTGCATGACCAAGCAGTAGAGCATATAAAATAGAAATGACAAATTCTCAGAAACTGGTCACCGTAAGCTGTGGGCAACTACAAATTAACCAGTAACTGTCTACAGGCGGTACGAGGCTGCCTCATTTGTCGAGGCTGGGAACCCAGTGGCTGCAAACAGAAGAGGGATGAGAGAGGGGGAAGCCAAGCAGAACATCGTGTAGTAACCAGGTTTATAAGGAAAGTTGAAAAAAAGGTTTGGTTGCATTCCCAAGCATGAATAAATGAAAGCACGTCTCTGCAGTCAGTGTCAGCTTCAAGGAACAGTGGGAATGGAATGGCCGGATTGCTGCCACCTCATCTGCTCCTTCTCGAGAGCTGCTGTGGAAAGGTGCCATGCAGATCACAGGAGCCACGCATATCACTAGAGATGAGCGAATTATTCAAAAATTCGATTCGGCTGATTCGGCGAATTCGCGGAATAAATTCGATTCGAGTCGAATATATTCGCTGCGAATTTAACTTATAAAAAGGGTGTTTCTAGGCTTCAGAGAGCCTTTATATTAGTGCAGAACACTGTACCTTTAATTTAAATGCCCTTGGAGTCTGCTGGGGAAGAGAAAATAATACTGTCAGTCAGTATGACATGCAGATGAGTGCCGTCGATCTTAGAATCACCGCACACTTCACTCATTTGGGCAGTCACGGGGACAAAACCAGAGTGTGGAGCCACAGTGTGGCGGTGGAGGCAGCAGCAATGGGAGGCCATACAGCACCCTATGAAAAAATGGAACCCACCAGCAGTGTGAGGAGACCTGAAAGTGGCACATGGCAGAGTGTGGCGATGGAGACAGCAGCAATGGGAGGCCGTACAGGGACCCATGACACACTCTGGACCTGGCAGCAGCATGAGGAGGCGGGTACAGGGGCCCATGACAGATTACGGGCCTGGCAGCAGCATGAGGAGTCGGTACGGGGGCCCATGGCAGATTACGGGCCTGGCAGCAGCAATGGGAGGCCATACAGCACCCTATGACAAAATGGAACCCACCAGCAGTGTGAGGAGACCTGAATGTGGCACATGGCAGAGTGTGGTGATGGAGACAGCAGCAATGGGAGGCCGTACAGGGACCCATGACACACTCTGGACCTGGCAGCAGCATGAGGAGGCGGTACAGGGGCCCATGACAGATTACGGGCCTGGCAGCAGCATGAGGAGTCGGTACGGGGGCCCATGGCAGATTACGGGCCTGGCAGCAGCAATGGGAGGCCGTACAGGGACCCATGACACACTCTGGAACTGGCAGCAGCATGAGGAGGCGGTACAGGGGCCCATGACAGATTACGGGCCTGGCAGCAGCATGAGGAGTCTGTACGGGGGCCCATGGCAGATTACGGGCCTGGCAGCAGCAATGGGAGGCCCGTAATCTGCCAGCACCCTATGACAAAATGGAACCCACCAGCAGTGTGAGGAGACCTGAAAGTGGCACATGGCAGAGTGTGGCGATGGAGACAGCAGCAATGGGAGGCCGTACAGGGACCCATGACACACTCTGGACCTGGCTGCAGCAAGAGGAGGCGGTACAGGGGCCCATGGCAGAGTGGCGAAGCGTAAGCAGCTTAAATTGAAGGCCATACAGAGGCCTATGTTAAAAATAATAACATGTTTGGGGCATGATTCATGGCGGATTTAGTCAGTTGTGTCAGGAACTGGTGGTTTGAAATCCAGACTAATCCACGCCTGATTCATTTTCACAAACGTGAGTCTCTCCACACTTTGGGTGGACAGTCGTGTCCTCCGCGGAGTTACAATACCTCCTGCCGCACTAAACACGCGCTCCGATGCCACGCTACTGGCCGGGCATGACAGCCTTTCAAGGGCAAATTCAGCTAGTTGGGGCCAAAGGTCAAGTTTCGTTGCCCAGTAGTCAAGGGGATTGTCTACCTCGGTTGGCAGGGTGCTGTCCAAGTAGGCCCAAGCCTGTTGTTTGAGGTCCTGCTCCAGGTCCACCTGATGCTGCTGCGGCTGGTTAGTAGTTTCCTCACTGCGCTGGTGAAGAAAGCTACTCATCATCGACTGCAGACTGAGGCAGCCGCTGCTGGTGGAGCTGCCACTGCTCCTACCACCCCACCCCCTCCCCTGCTGCCATGGCAGCGGAACGCGAGCGCACAGGGCCCACAGTGTCTGAGGATGGACGTTGGCGCAGAAAGGCAGAGACCAACTGACTACATAGGTGGTTTTTATAGTACGTTATTTTGGCCTCCCTCTCAGCAGGTGTGAAAAAGGCCACCATTTTTGAACGGTAGCGAGGGTCCAACAAGGTGGACAGCCAAAAGTCATCCCTCTGTCTGATGGTTATTATTCGGCTGTCGCTACACAAGCAACCGAGCATGCTATGGGCCATTTGTGCCAAGGAATGCAAGAGGGACTCCCTGCCTCCATCTCCACAGCATACTGCCACGGTGCGTCTGGGTCCTCTGTCTCCTCCTCCTCCTCTACCAGATGCTCCTGCTCCTTTTCACCCATTTCACTCAATAATTCCTGAGCACCCATGTCCTCCTCTACCTCCTCCTCTTCTTCCTGTCCTGCCCCCACAGGGGTCATGTGGCGTTGAGATCTGTGCGCCACGTCTACCGCACCCTGACCAGCCATTGTTAACAGCATTTGTTCCAGGACGTGCAACAGAGGAATGACGTCGTTCATCCCATAGTCCTGCCGACTCACGAATAGCGTGGCCTCCTCAAAGGGCCTGAGCAAGCGGCAGGTGTCACGCATGAGCTGCCAATGGCTGACATCGAAGTTACACAGGGGAGTACCTTTATCCCCTTGTAACATCAGGAAATCGGTGATGGCCTTTCGCTGTTCGTAATGGCGGTCTAACATATGTAGGGTTGAATTCCACCTTGTTGCAACGTCGCAGATCAGGCGATGCTGTGGAATTCCGTTCTGCCGCTGCAGCTCAAGGAGGGTGTGCTTTGCGGTGTAGGAATGGCTGAAATGCATGCAAAGTTTACGTGACATTTTAAGGATGTCTTGCAGTGGGATGGTGGATTTTAGGAACCGCTTGACAACCAGATTGAACACGTGAGCCATGCATGGCGCATGGCACAACCTTCCTTGACGCAGAGCAGACACCGTGTTCTTTCCGTTGTCGGTCAACATGGTTCCGATTTTCAGTTAGCGCGGAGACAGCCATCTGTCGATTTCTCTGTTCATTACACTCAGAAGTTCCTCCCCTGTGTGACTACCTTCGCCAAGGCATACCAGGTGCAGCACAGCGTGACACCGTTGCGCCCTGCACATGTGATATGCCGGTCGGGTAATGGGACTTGGCACGGGGGGGGCGGCTGAGGACACGGCGGAAGAAGAGGTGGTAGAGGCGGACATCTTTGCTGGACCAAGGACGTGCAAACGTGGAGGCAAAAGCGGCGTGACCTGTCCAAGTTGCTGGTGCGGCTGTGCCGGCACCACGTTCACCCAGTGGGCCGTAAATGACATGTACTGTCCCTGACCGTAGTTACAGCTCCACGACGTCGGCGCTGCCATGCACTTTGGCAGAGACCGACATGCTCAAAGACTGGCCCACCATCTCTTCTACATGTGAATGCAGGGCTGGCACTGCCTTTTTGGCGAAGAAATGCCGGCTTGGCACTCTCCACCGCGGCGCGGCACAAGCCATCATTTCTCGTAAAGGTGCTGAGTCACCACTTGGAAAGGGAGGGACTGCAGCACCGGCAACTTGGACAGGAGGACGTTCAGCTTCTGCACCGTCGGGTGTGTGCTCGCAAACTGTTGTCTCTTGGAAACAGATTCCAAGAAAGACTGCTGACGGAATCCGTGAAGAGGAGTAGCAGGAGAAGGAGCATCTGAACGAGCGAAAGATGCCAACGAGTGACAACTCCCCTCAGCAGAGGTGTTGGAGCCTTGACTGGCTGATAGAGGGCGATTGACATCGGGTGACGGAGCAAGTAACGGAGCGGGTGATGGAGCGGGGGCTGGGGCAGGCAGAACCGCCGTATCTTTATCACGGTTTTCCCAGGCCACCGAATGGCGACGCTGCATATGCTGACGCAACGCTGTAGTCCCAACATGGGCCCCCTGGCCACGCTTGACTTTCTGGCCACATAGTCGACATACGGCTACGTTTACTTCCTCGGGCGGCTTGACGAAAAATTGCCACACACCGCCGAGTAGGAAACTTTGCCCCCGCTACTCCTCACTGGCTGACTGCTACTTCCTCCGTGCACACCGGCACCACTACTGGCCGTGGTGGTAGGCTGCAGTGGAGCTGGTGCTCTACTCCGTGGCCGTTTGCCTCCACTGACACTGCTGCGACCCTGCTGCCTCCTGGGCAACCCACCGACTGTTTTGCTCGCTGCCAAGCTGGCACCCTCTTCTCCTGATTATGCGGAAGCAATAGCCTGATGCCAACGAGGCTGCCAAGTGCAATCAGCCTCATCATCATCAATTAGGGTCTCCGCCTCACTACTAGCCCCCTCGGCTGCGTGTGGGTCAGGAGACAGACCTGTCTCTAGACCGGCTACCGAGCCACTCTCCTCGCCAGTACTTCTTCGCCTGGCTGCTGAAGAGGCGGATGTCTCCCCCCGTTCCTGACCGCCCTCTGTTAGCTCTTCCTCACTGTACAGTGGGGCTGAGCCCACAGCATGCGATACTTCGCTTGGTGAGGGAACACCAAAGGACAGGGGCAGGTAGAGGACACGTGATTTCATTGGGCTTGCTCCCGGGCCATGCCAACTAACGGTTGTGTCTGATGTACCCACCGACCGTTGGCTGTAGGTGTCAGAGGTGACCTGGGAAGAGGAAGACGACCGAGCCAACCAATCGATGACGGCAGGGTTGTCGGTGGAGACACGACCGCTGGATGACACCGGGAGCACTGGCCTCTGGCTGCGACTAGTGCTGCCTCGACCCCTTCCTCTGCTGCCACGTCTGCTCGCTCCTGAAAACATTGCCTCCTCTGCCACTCCTCTGCGTGTTGTCTGACATACTCTTTAATTTAACGATTCTGTGTCCCTGAGTAACAATTCTGTGTCCCTGAGTAACGATTCTGTGTCCCTGAGTAACGATTCTGTGTCCCTGAGTAATGATTCTGTGTCCCTTAGTAACAATTCTGTGTCCCTGAGTAACGATTCTGTGTCCCTCAGTAACGATTCTGTGTCTGTGTCTCTGAGTAACAATTCTGTGTCCCTGAGTAACAATTCTGTGTCCCTGAGTAACAATTCTGTGTCCCTGAGTAACGATTCTGTGTCCCTCAGTAACAATTCTGTGTCCCTGAGTAACGATTCTGTGTCCCTGAGTAACAATTCTGTGTCCCTCAGTAACGATTCTGTGTCCCTCAGTAACGATTCTGTGTCCCTCAGTAACGATTCTGTGTCCCTGAGTAACAATTCTGTGTCCCTGAGTAACAATTCTGTGTCCCTCAGTAACGATTCTGTGTCCCTGAGTAACGATTCTGTGTCCCTGAGTAACGATTCTGTGTCCCTGAGTAACGATTCTGTGTCCCTCAGTAACAATTCTGTGTCCCTGAGTAACAATTCTGTGTCCCTGAGTAACGATTCTGTGTCCCTCAGTAACGATTCTGTGTCCCTGAGTAACAATTCTGTGTCCCTGAGTAACAATTCTGTGTCCCTGAGTAACGATTCTGTGTCCCTCAGTAACAATTCTGTGTCCCTGAGTAACAATTCTGTGTCCCTGAGTAACAATTCTGTGTCTGTCTCCGAGTAACGCCTCCAGGACTTCTCCAGGGTGTCACCCATCCTCTGGAACTCCCTGCCCCAACCCATCAGATTATCACCTACTCTCCTCTCCTTTAGGCGCACCCTGAAAACCCATCTCTTCAGGGAAGCCTACCCCACCCCCTGCTAACTTGCCGACCTCCTCCACTCTTCCTACCACTCCATCCCCACAGCTATCTCCTCCTGTGCCACCATTCCCTCCCTCCTAGATTGTAAGCTCGAAAGAGCAGGGCCCTCGAACCCCTCGTGTATCACATTGTATTGGTATTGTTCTGTCACATGTTCTGTCCCCCTTTGTAATGTACAGCGCTGAGCGAACTATTGGCGCTTTATAAATACTGTATAATAATAATAATAATAATAATGCGCAGTTAGAATGGGAGACGTCATATGATGTCCTCCCAGAACAAGAGAACCGCCTTGCATCCA